ATCTGTAATTTATACAATTAACCTCCCTGTGGTTCGACCCCTTGCTGGGTTATTTATTACTTTGACACTCCTACACTTGGGAGAAGACATTAATTTTTTCGTTGTGTCAAGTTTTTGACGTTGTTGCTGGAGAGGTAAGTTCTTGTACAAATTATAATATTTATTTTATTTTATTTTTCACTTTTCTTGTATATAACTTTGTTTCTTTGTTCTTGTTTCTTTTTTTTCTTCTTTCTTTTATTCTATTCCTACACGTGCATGAGAGCATGGTCACGTACATCAAGTGGTAGACTTTGTAGGGTATCTTCATCATTTTCAGAAAATATGGTCGAAGAAGATAATCAATCACTTCATAAAGAGAATATCCGTGTTAGAACATTTAGAGACCACATGAATCCTACAAGAACAAGTGCACCATTATGCATAGTTTTTCCTCCTGATGCATCTCATTTTAATTTTAAGCTAGGCATTATTCAACTTTTACCTTCTTTTCCTAGGTTAGATTTAGAAAATCCATACTTGCATTTAAGAGAATTTGAGGAGGTCTGTAACACATATAATGATTTAAATTGTAGCACGAACACCATCAGATTAAAGCTTTTTCCTTTTTTATTAAAAGATAAAGCTAAAACATGGTTATAAAATTTGAGACCAAGATCCATTCTTACTTGGGATGAAATGCAACAACAGTTTTTAAAGAAGTTTTTCTTATCTCACAGAACAAAGTCTTTCAAAAGACAAATCACCACTTTCACTCAAAAACCAGGAGAAACATTTTACCAATGTTGGGATAGGTATTGAGACTTACTTAATACTTGCCCTCATCATGGTTTTGAAATATGGACCATGTTTACATCTTTAGCTAGAAAAGTCGAGGCACTAGAATTGAAAAAGAGTGGTTAATTAAAATCAGTTAAAAACATTGTGTGTCAAATCTGTGAAACTAATGAAGACTCAACCGATAATTGTCTAACCTTGCCTTCTTTTAAGGAATGCCTCCATAAACAAGCTCATGCTTTAAACAGTTTCCAAAAGGCCAACCGTAACCCATACTCGCAACACATACAATCCTGGTTGGAGAAATCACCCAAATTTCAGTTAAAAGAGTGATAATAATAATGTACAAACTTCACAACCACCGTTTCAAGCACATCATAATTTGCAAAATTCTTATGGATATGCACCTCTTTATACTCCACCTCCTATAAGAAATTTTGAGGAAACTTTGTATGCATTTATTGAAAAGGAAGAGACAATCAACACTCAACTTGCTCAAAACATAACAGATTTTAAAGATACTCTTGTAAAATTCACTTCTGCTCTGAGTTTTCAAGAGAAAGGTAAGTTTCCATCTCAACCACAGCAAAATCTCAAGGAGCAATACAATGCAAATACAAGTAGTCCTGGAAGTCAACGCATGGATCAAGTCAAATCAGTCACCACTCTTTGTAGTGATAAGGTTATTCAAAAACCAATTCTTGAACCTTGTGAGAAAGATGATGAGTCAATCTCTAAAGGTAATGAAGGGGTTGAATCTGAACATTACAAAGAAAAGACTGATTCCCCTCCAGCACTTCCATTTTCTCATGTCATGACCAATAAGGAAGAAATCAAGAATGAAAAAGGCACCGAAAATATTAATGCGAATCTTTTATCAAAAGTGACAACAGATTCGACACCCGACATCACACCAATCAATGATTACTTTCCTGATGAATCTTAACTTTCTCTTAGTTCAATGCCTTGATTTGCTAAAAATATCAATTTTCTTACTTCATGATTTTTGCCAACTCACTAAAGTACCGAAGATAAAAGAAAATTTTTGAGCAACGTGCAAAATTTTTATTGGGATGACCCTTATTCAATTATTGTCCTCATCAAATATTTTAAAAATGCATTCTCGACAATGAGGTAAGTAATTTCATTAAATTTTGTCACTCTAAGGCACGTGGGGATCATTTCTCCTCAAAAAAGGACTGTAGAAATCTTACAAAGCGGATTTTATTGGCCCACCATATTCAAGAAATCACATGCATCTCACAAAACCTATGAAAATTGTCAAAATGTGAGATTTATTTCAAATCACAGAGAGTCTTTAGATAATTTTCTATTGACTCTTAAGTCTCATCATAGTTGAGATAAGCATCGTGCAATTCATGACTTATGAACCCATTTTTATAAAGAACATGCTTGACATTCTTGGGAATCTAACTAAAAAAGACATTGTTTGCTAGTTTTTAAGAAAACTAGATGGGAAGCCTGTCCCCAACCCATAGAGGGCGTTTAAGCCGTTCTTGGACGTAAAACCAAGGGAAGATGTGAGCCACAATCACAGCCACCTATACATACACATTTTTTTTATAAATAAATAAAGAGAGAGAGAGTGTTTGTGTGTGTGTGACAGAGAGACTCCAGCTGGCCTACATATAGGTGGTATGATTGCCTTTTTGATTTCTTATCTATAAAATCTTCTCTTTTTTCCTTTCATTTCTACTCAACCCATACATTCAACAAATATAAAAGTGTGTAGAAATGGCAAGTTCCTCAGGTCATCATATAAGAAATATTTGTGTTTTTGGTGGATCTAGTCCTGGAAAAGAAAAGAAGTTTTTAGAATCAGCAAATCATCTTGGTCAGGTGCTAGTTCAGAGAAAGATTCATTTAGTGTATGAGGGAGGCAGTCTTGGGTTAATAAGAGGTGTGTTAATAGCTGTATTTTTAAGAGGTAGTCAAGTTTTGGGGGTCGTCGCTGAAGCTTTAGCATAAGAGGACATCATTGAAAAAACAATTAGAGAGGAACTACAGGTCTTCACAATGTCTGCTTGAATGAATGCAATGTTTAACCATGTTGATACCTTCATTGCCTTACCAGGTGGTCTAGGCACATTGCAAGAGATCTTTCATATTTCCTATTGAGCTCAACTGCATATTCATCATAAACCCATAGGTTTGTTAAATGTTAATGGTTATTATGATAAGTTGTTGTCTTTTCTTGATCATGCTGTGGAATAGGAATTTCTAACATCTTCTGCATAACAAATCATAATCTCTACTGTTACTGCTGAACAATTAATTGACCAACTATAATCTTTCATTCCTGTAATTGATCCCTCCATGAGTCGTATAAATTGGTCGTCTAAGGAAAGCCATAAAAAGCTTAGATTAGATTTGAGTCTTCATTTGTAAATTTTTCTTTTGTCTTTTTGTTTTATTATTGTGTTTTGTTATTTCTTATTTTTGTTGTAGTGTGTTTTAGGTTTATCAATGTTTGTTATTTCAGGTGATATCTTTCATACTCTGTCTTTCTACCTTAGAACATTGAGGATAATGTCTCGTTTTGGTTGGCAGGAGAGGGTAGTAGCTAAAAAAAAAAAAAATTTAACTAACTGTTTTTTCTATTTCATAAAGTATATGCAAAATTGTTGTTACTATAATGACAGAGTAAAGGAGATCTTTTTATGACTCTTGAGACGCATCTTAGTAACCATTTTTAGCAAGGTCTATCATAATACTTCTTGAAATATTTAGGTTTACAAACTCACGCATTGTTATCACTTAATTGTGCTCATATACTCATTTAACATGTATTCTTAAACCTTAATTTACACACACACACTTTAACATATGATTGTGGGTTGCATATTGGATTATTACATTATTTATGTTCTTTTGTTAAAGGTAACAACTAAGGGAAAGGGATAGTATATAATTTGAAATAAAAAAACAACAAAAAACAACAAAAAAAGAGCAAAAAAAAATAATGATAATAAAAATATAGATAAGTTTGGTTTTGTAGCCTCCCTAACCTAAGCAATTAAACCCGAATGGGTGTTTTAACACCTAATACCCTAAAGTCAACTGACTTGGGAGTTATTAGCCCAACGCTTGTTACATGGGTTAAGGAGAAAAGCTTAAGGGAATCAAACATTGCACTATCTACGTATCAGTATCTGCAACCCGAGTTACTAAGCTCGTAGGGGTGTCTCAACACCTAATGTCCTAAGACCAACTAGTCTGGGAGTCATTAGTCGAAAGCTCGTTACATGGGTTAAAGATGCATGGTGTTTTAAGTTATATGTATATATATTTTAAAAAAAGAAAAAAAATAATAATAATCCCAATCCAAGGAAGTTAATGTTAAACATTATAACAAACATTTTGTTTTCTTCCAAGAAAAGCCCCATAATTATGTGTTGATATATTGTGCACAAAAGAAAGGTTTATTAATATCTTGTTAAGAGGTATTGAACAAATATATATAAATTTAATGAGAGTTTGTTTATCTGGATAGATTAATGGAAGTTGAATGATGAATACCTTGCTTTATGAAATTCGCAAAGTATTTTTCTATTTTAATGCTTTGATTACTAGGGACTTGTAATAAGTTGGTTGAGGGATGTGATTAGTACTTAAAAGTACATTTTATCAAGGTTTTATATCATCATTTTGCACTAGTGATAATAATAATGTATAAACTTCACAACTACTATTTCAAGTATACCATAATTTTCAAAATTTTTATCAATAAGTAGAAGCGTGAAAAAAACTATAGTTCTTTTCCCGTGTACTTTAAAATTATTAATAATATAATTATAATTATAATATATAAGTGGAGGTGCGGAAAAAGCTACAATCCTTTCTAAACTATCCTTTTAGAGTTATTGATAATAATGTTGTTGAGTTAAATACGGAGTGGAATAAAATCATTGGAAAATAAAATATGGCGTAGATGAAAAAAATGGCATGGCAAGTATAATTAAAGAAGGGGGATGCTGCACCCAAGGCAACGGCCCAGCGGTAGAATGGCGTCTTGCGCCTTCTGCTGTCACGGGTTCGAGCCTTGGAGTTGCATGTCTGTCAGCCCCGCGCTGCCTTACCTGCCTGCTGGGTTTGCAGGGTGTTCAGTGGGCCGTGGGGATTAGTCGTGGTGCGCGTACGCTGGCCCGGACACCCCACGTAAATAAAAAAAAAAAAAGAAAAAAAAAGAAAAAAAAAAATAAGGGGATGCTTTTCAGCTCTAAGTCAGTGTGCAGTTAGAGAGAGAAACTAGAGAGAGACGCTCTCTTTCTTGAAGACATTCCCCTCTCTGTGACGATCTGCACCTTCTGAGCCGGTTTTGATTTCTTTCTTCACTATTTATTTCTGGCCCGCATGGCCATTAATAAACAAAAATTAGAGCACTCATTCTATTGGATTCAACTAATTCAAGCGGGGTTTCAGTTTAGCCTATAAATCGGGTACAGACTTGGTATCGCCTCTAGCCAACCAAGCTTCAATTGTTCCAGATTCTTTAAATCTTAGTACTTTTCCAACCCCCAGAGATGGATCTGGAGTTGGGATCGAGTCTCCACCCATGATGAGTTCTCTGGTGGATGATGGTCCCGATGGGTCAGGTGTCGGCTTCCTTGAAGTCGAAGAGCTTCTCACCCTCTCTGAGGGCGTATTAGTCGGAGATATGATTAATTTCAAGTCCACTCCATTGTTCTCTGGTTTGGCATGGATTACCGCTAACAGCATCAGGGTCAATAGTCTATCTGAAGACAGGGTGCCCAAACCTTGCTCAGCCATGGAATTGCTCAGTATTTACACTGATGGGGTATGTAGATCTTCTGGTGTTACTGTCTAGCATGCTAATGCTAGTGATACAGGAAGTTCTCCTTCAGGTACTCCCTCAGAACTAGTTTTAAGTATATGGAGACGCTGTTGTTGCCTTGATTATTGGCTTGAAACTATGAATTTCTCTACTCGAGCATGTGGAGGTGGTCGGATGTCTCTTACCCCTCCTCTATAATGTCCCTATCTGCTAGAATTTCAGAGGGCTTCGTACCCTCTGAATCAACACGAGGCTTTCAACCTCATGATGTTTGGTTTGTTTGATGTTGCTGTTTATTGTGGCGTCAGTTCTAAGGCTATTGTTTGTTATGGTTCCTCTCTGTCTCGCAAATTAATCGTCAGGACATTACGATTAACTTGCACTTGTTGTCTGTGATGTTCGTATGCTGGAGCTCAGGATCTGCTAGCTTCAATTGTCTTCTCTATGAATTTCTTTTTGCAGTGATGTGTGCTCTATGTGTTGTTATATGCAGCTTGGTATGCAGTGCCTCATCCTTCTTAAAGCTGGCTGTAATTATATACTACTGTTTGCAATGTTGTTTGCCAGCCTTGGCTGCACTAGCTGGTCTCTAACATGCAAGTGTCTACAGGAGTGTACTAGTGGCAGCCAATTCTCATGCAGGGTGTTCTGTTGGTTTGCTTTTGCTGTGTTGCTGCCTAGTTTCTGGGGTAAAGTCTAGTCAATTGGGTCTACTAGTTTGTTGTTGTCTACTGAGTTGTAGTTCAAGCCTTTCCCCATGGATGCTTGCAACAAAGGAGCTTGATGGAGCATGTTATGGTGGCAACTTTTTCGTCACTGCAGAGTAGATATGGTTTGCTAGACTGGACGTGGCTTTCTGCTGATACTGCCCTCTAGGCTAGTAAATCTGTGTATGTTGTTGGTTGTCTGCAGTGCTGTGCTGGCTGGGACTTATTCCAGTTCTGCCACCTGCTACACCAATCATCTTCTGCAAGGATCTCCTGCTATTGCATGGGCTGTGGTTTGGTTTGCTGGAGTTGTTGTGCTTTCAAGCCATTTTTATTGTTGGTTTGTCCATTTCAACAGGTCTACTGCAGGTTATTTGTTTGCTGTTGCAGGCCTCTTGGGGCTGGTCTTGGTTGCTGTGGATTGCTGGAGCTGGCTTCCCACTCTGGCTTTGCGGTGCTGCCGCTTACAGGTTTTTGCTGTGGGCTATTTGTTTGGTTTGCTGCTAATTGCGTTGTTGGTTTGCTGGATTTAATTAATGGTTTTCTGCACCACTATTACTCTTGACATTCTGATGTCGTTGCTTGTGTTTTCTGTGTTGGGGGTGTCTTAGTGACAAGTATTGCTCTTGGTTTGCTATGTTGTTGCTTCCTCAGTCCATATTCAGAGGGAGTGGGTGATCTACTACTGATATCCCCATACTATTTGCACATGACTTCTGTGTGCTGAATGTGCTGAGGCTGCTCCTGGCCATTGTTGCAGGGCTACTGCCTTGGTTTAGCTACTGAGTGTGTCGGTTGGCCTGCGGTGATTTGCTGCCCTTGTCTAGCTGTGAATGTGGGTGGAGGTTGGTTTGCTTATCATGGTTGCAGGATGATTTGCTGCCCTTGTCTAGCTGTGAATGTGAGTAGAGGTTGGTTTGCTTATCATGGTTGCAGGATCAACCCCCGGCTGTTGCTGCTGGTGTTTTGGTTCTTCTACAAGTGCTTCATATCCTCCGCTTTGTTTTTATTGTTGTCCAGTTTTGCTACTAGGCAGCTATGATCTTTTGTTTTGCTAGTTTGTTTGTTTGTTTGTTGTGCTTCTTGCAGCGGGCTGTTGGAACTCCATTATGCTATTGCTGGAAGAGTTGGTTTGCTGCAGCTGACCAATGCTGTTTTTGGTATGGATTGGCGGTTGCTTTGGATACCTCTGCATGCTCTGCTGCTTGGGTTCTTGAAGTTGGCTGCTGGGCTGTGTCCCTGAATCACTTTTTTGGTGTTGGCTGCTTTTTTTTTTATATGGGTTTGCTTCATATTGTCAAATAGCCATGCTTTGATGGCTATGATGTTATTTTTGCTTATTCAAGGGAACTTGTTTTCTTTGTGCTCTATTTTATACATGCCTGTATGTGTATTATGACTTGCTGTTCTTCAAGTTAGTTTTATTTTGATCTATAAATTTTTTTATATTCGATCAAAAAAAGAAGGGGATGCTATTCATTTGATGAAGGGAATAAAATATGAGAATAATGATATTGATAGAAAATTTTAGTGAAGGATGCTCATTGTTGTGTTATCCTGGGGTAAGCAGTTAGTTGAATTGGACATTGTGTAGTTAATACGATAAAAAAATTAATGTATTTTTTTAAGTGCAGAAGTGTCGAAATAAAATAACCTATCAATATCAGGATTGAATTATAGGGAGGTTAGTTATAGAAATTATAAATAACAATACTAATATTTTTAAGAGGATTTGAGATGAAAAATTAATGTGAAGATTAAATAATGATAAAAATGATAATAAAGATTAGAGGATGTATTAATGGTATTTTAAACAAGTATAATATGAATTTTTTTTATTACTCAACTGGAAATCCTATATAAATGAGATTTTGAAGACTTGTTTTTTTATAGGTATAAAATCTCATAGTGGTCAGACATCGAGAATGACTTACAATAAGATTGATTAGTATTTAAAAATATATTTTATTAAGGTTTTATATCATTATTTTGCGCTTCAAGTATCAATAACTCTTTAATTAAATCATGTTTTATAATAACAAGTCTGATATAAGATAACTTTAATTTATGGTAAATGTTCGTCTTCAATGCAAGCTTATTATATAAATCAAAGGATTGATTGATAAGTTTAACTACTGAAATTAAAAGGACAAAGACAAGGTTAAGTTTAGAAAAGAGAGGACAAAGATAAGGTTAAGTTTAGAAAAGAGATGTTATTTTAGTCCAAATTGAAACACTGTTCAGTCATTGGGTCATATTTGGAGCTGTAGATCTTGAATTTCAATTTGATTTATGTGGCTAAAAAACTAAGAGATAGGCCTAAAACATTCATGAGAATGCAAGACTCAAATATGTTGTTGGAAGTCAATCTTAGCATAACAAAAAAGTCGGAATCTGTCTTGCAGCTTAGACAATATTCAGTGTTCAGCCTATATCTCGAGTTCTAGAAGTCCAAATGTACTAAATCTTGTTTTGTTAGAAAGTTGAGATGATTTCCTATAACTTTTATTGGGCAATCTATTCAAATTTTGATGTTACACATTTTGGTAAGATAAGAAGATAAGGATTGTCATCAAGTCAAGATGTGGTCACCCACTAAACAATTAGTCATCAAATCAATAGTTTCAAATTTTGGCCTATAAAAGAAGACATTTGCCATGTATTTAGGCATCTTGGTTTTCAGATCAAAATCATGTTCTTGCTCTCTCTCATTATATTTTTGTAATGCTTAAGTTTTGCTTATATTAATCTCTTGTTTATACTTTCCATTTCATTTCCTTTACTTAGTTGACTTATATCTTATTTATGTTCTTATCTTGTTTATTTATGTTTCTCTCTTTAATTATATTTAGTTAAATTTATTATGTCAAGGTCAAAAGGTTACACTAATGGTGTAAGAATAAGTATAGTATAAACTCAACATGGACCTTAATGTTTGATACTAACATATTTTATATTTGTTATCTTATTCACTCTTAATACTTTGCTTGTTAAATAGTTAATCTAGATTTGTGTTGTATAGTAATTGGTATAACAAATACTTGGCACTTTCATAGTCCAACTGTATGTTATAAACATCACCTATGCTATGAAAGAAACTTGATTTGTTATTAACATTAGTTATAATCATGAATACCTGACAACATTTACAAGTATTAGTATTATTCGAATAAGACAACTAATATAATCATGTTAACAATTTATAATCCAATTGGAATCTCCTTTGTGTGGGTTTCTAGTTGAGTAATAAAAAAGAGTTTATACTATACTTGTTTAAAATACCATTATTAGATCCTTTAACCTTGACAGTTGTTATTATCATTGTTTAATCCTCACATTAATCTTACATCTTAAAGTCTTCTTTAACTTGTTGTTTTCGTTATTTATATTTTATATAGTTAACCTCCCTATGGTTCGACTCCGATCTTGCCGAGTTATTTATTACTTTGACACTTTTGTATTTAGGAGAAGACATCAATCCTTGGTCATGTCAAGTTTTTGGCGCCATTACTAAGGAGGTAAATTCTATTTTATTTTATTTATTTTATTTTTACTTTTTACTTTTCTTGTATCTAAATTTTTTTCTTTTGTTTTGTTTTCTTATCCCTTTTATTTTCTTCCTACACGTGCATAAAAGTTTGATCACGTGCATTAAGTGTTATACTTTCTAGGGTATCCTTATCATTTTTAAAAAATATGGCTGAATAAGATAACTAGTCACTTTATAATGAGAATAATAAGAATAATCGTGTTAGAACACTCAGAGACCACACGAGTCTAACAAGAACAAGTACACCATCATGCATAGTTTTTCTTCCAGATGCATCTCATTTCAATTTCAAGTCAAACATTATTCAACTTTTTTTTTTTTTCATGGCTTAGATTTATAAAATCCATACTTTTATTTAAGGGAATTTGAGGAGATCTAATAACACTTAAAATGACTTAAATTGTAGTATTAACACCATCAAATTAAAGTTTTTGCTTATTTCATTAAAAGACCAAGCTATAATATGACTATAACATTTGAGACTAGGATCCATTTGTGCTTGGGATGAAATGCAATAATAATTTTAAAGATATCTTTTCCATCTCACAAAACAAACTCTTTCAAAAGACAAATCACCACTTTCAATCAAAAACCAGGAGAAACATTTTACCAATGTTGGGATAAGTGTCGAGATTTGTTTAATACTTGTCTTTATCATGTTTTTGAAACATGGAGATTGGTTTCATATTTTTATAAAGGGCGTTCCTAGAGATAGACAAATGGTTAAATTGATGAGCAATGAAACTTTTAAAGCTAAAGACTCTGATGATACAATGGAGTACCTCAACTTGCTAGCCGAAAATACTCAAAATTAGGACACTACAAGCACTTATGAGGCACGAAGTAAAACCCAACCTTTTATATCTAGTGAAGGTATGTACAATCTTAGAGAAAATCATGACCTCCAAGCTAACTTCGCATCTTTAGCTAGAAAAGTCAAGACATTAGAAATGAAAAAAGTGGTCAATTAAAATATGTTCGAGACATTGTGTGTCAAATATGTGAATCCAATGAACACTCGCTAATGACTATCTAACTTTGTTTTCTTTCAAGAAATGCCTCCATGAATAAGCTCATGCTTTAAATAGTTTTCATAGGCCCAATCATAATCTATACTCGCAAACATACAATCTTGGTTGGAAGAATCATCCAAATTTCAGTTGGAAAAGTGGTAACAATAATGTACAAACTTCACAGCCACCATTTTAAGTGATTAGTACTTAAAAGTGCATTTTTATCAAGCTATTATATCATAATTTTGCACTTGAAGTATCAATAACTCCTTAACTAAAACATGTTTTATAATAACATATCTAATAATATAAGATACCTTTAATTTATAGTAGATATTCATCTTAAATACAGACCTATCACATAAATGAAAGGATTGATTGATGAGTTTAAGTACTGAAATTGAAAGGACAAAGAGATGGCCAAACATAGAAAAGAGATGCTAGTGTAGTCCAAACTAAAATATTGTTAGGTAATTAGGTCATATCTGGAGTTGTAGATCTCATATTTAGGTCTTCTTTATATGTATGGAAAGGTACAATATCTGCTTGACCGCTTTTTATGATCGGCTTGTTTTAACTCGCAAGTGCACGAGTGTGCGATGTAGCAATTAACTCGGTAAGATCGAGGTCATATCCACAGAGAGCTAGATCTGGAAATTAAGCTAGGTAACAAAAAAAAAACTCAAGAGAAATTAAATTAACAATAACTTGGTTGAAAATAATTGATGGATTTGTTTTCAAAGATGAAAAAGTATAAATAGATTTTAAATGACAAGAAAAAGTAAGTCTTGGTCCAAATCAATTTTAATGGTGATGTATTGGTGATTTCTTTATAAGATAACTCAACCTAATATTAACGATGGTGATATTAGATCAGAAGATATTACAATGAAGTTTAGAAAGATGAAGATTGATTATTGCTTAAGAATGAACAAGTACTTTCATATTAAGTAAGATATTGAATCAAGCAATCTCTATACCAAAACTAAAGTTTGTGCATAAAAATTCAAGATTATAACATTACCTAAATGATTTCTAAAATTTCTTTGCAATAATAAATCATTCATGAAGAAAATGAGAAGATAAACATTAAGATTCATTCATATCCTAAAGAACTCACCTCAATCACCATGATCCTTGATTTGGATCCAAGAAAGAGTTTAGCCAACCATGGTTATATATAAGAACACTTCAATAAACATGAAATAACTTGAATTAAACTAAAATAATAAGATTTACAAACTAAAGAACTGAAATCTATAAAGAAGAACACAACACAATTTCAGAAAAAATTCGGACACAAATCTGACTCTAACTTTGGACAGCAATTTGACCCTCTTAGAAGCCTTTTCCCGAGATGTCTATTAGAGACATATTTATAGGAAATTATGTCACCTTTCCAGATAATTAAAGAACAGATCATTTGGATATCTGAGTCAAACGTTATGGGCAAAACACCGAAAGGTGTTCTGAAAAATCAAATCAAGACAGCTTTACAACTACTTTGGTGCACGTTTTTCTTCCTCATTTATGAGGTGTCTCCTTCTTCTTTTTGACCCAAAATAATGTTAAAATATCCCCTCCAGCTTTCCATCCATGTGCTTGCCTTCTTGGATCAATGGATTACCCAAAGTAAATCAATTGTTATTTGTTGTGTGGACATGTAAGATCATGGATTGTGTTTGGGTTGATTTGAAGGTTGATTTGGGGTTGATTTGGGGCTGAATTTAAGCATCAAATAAGTATACAAATATACCTATTATTCGGGCTAAGATTGACATTGAAACCTTGAGTGTTTAATGGTTGAAGTTTGCACACAATATAAGACAAGTTTGGGCTTGAAATAGATCATATGATATTCTTTTCTAGAATTGGAATAGAATTGATTTTTGGGG